ACCAACGCTTAAGCAGCAAGAGAGGCGGCCACTCTACTTCGCCGCTTCATTACATTCCACCCGCACAAGCTCGCCAACTATCGTGACTCTTTGGTTTCCCTTCGTTCGGCCCTTGACTTTATTGTGATGCCTCAAACACAGCTTACTCTTCATGGGTTTCTCACTGTTGACCCTTCTGTCGATGGGTCTGCACAGTAAACCGTCTTCCTGGCCGTATGTACACACACACACACACACACACACACACACACACACACACACACACACACACACACACAGAGCACCGGTCACTACTCGAGTCCAAAATCATCACTATAAACATGTAAGTGACTGTTTCCTGAAGTTAGGGTCACTTTAGCTCGTTTGCCACTTCACCCGACGGCACTATAACCATGCGTGACCTGTAGTTCGCCCGTGTTTTCCGATTTGAGCAAGGGTCCCGGCTTGTCACAGTTATGTTCGTCCCGCATTTGTTTTGGCTTGTTAGGCCAACCTATCTGCCCACTTGGGTTCGCTCTGTCTTGACAAAATGAACTTGTTCCCCAACCCCAATTATGCACACATTCGCAATCATTCGCACCCTGACGCACCCTATCGCAACCAGACTTGGTTTTACAACCGTTTTACAAAAGTTTTTGGTCCTTTTAACCTCGCTTGCCTAGGCCTTTCATACTTTTCTTCCAACGTTTTTCCGAACACTTGAAACATTTTTTCTTCTTCGACTATTTTTAGCCACTAACCTTTTGCAACCACTCCACTATTTTTTTTACCCACGTTTTTGCATCGAACCTGTTTTAGTTCCCCAACCCATTTTCACAACCATTCCTACCAGAACCTACAAGTATTGGTCCTTTTAACCTCGCTTGCCTAGGCCTTTGATACTTTTCCGAACGCTTGGCTTGAGGTCATTGTGTCCCTGATCTGACATCGAGATGTTCCTGTGTCGCGTTCATTCATGTATTTGTGTTTCCCGTTCCTCGCACCACCCTCAGCTTTCCAGAGAATGCAGACGGAACAAAGTGGATCTCCATTGGGCGCTCTGAACCATTGCAGGTGCGGTGTGCTTGCCACCATGTCTGTGTGCGCCTGAGTGTACATGTTAACTGAAGATTGGGTGCTGAACAACGTGAATGGACAACAGCAGAGCAACTGAAAACTGCACCGACTGCCCACGCACATGTACGTTCATGTGCGTGCATGCACACCCACACACATGTACGCACACGTACAGGTGACGTGCAAGGACGGGTTTGTGGAGTTGGAGGTGCAGGGGAGCGCTTTCTCTTCGACTGGTTGGATCTTCTCTGAAAAGACATTGAACAACTGGTACAAGTGCGATTGCTCCGCCGCTATTGGGCGCTTGCAGGTAAATTTGGGTTGTGCTTTTCCTCGCGCTACTGAACATGCGTTTGTGTGCAATCTTCAGTGTGGCCATCTTTCTGTGAACAAAGTGACACATCACTTCACAAGCTCACATTCGGGTCATGCATGTGTTGCGTTGCAGGACTTAACCGGGGAGTGGTACGTTGGAACAGTTCCTGAAAATGTTGAGACAATGCAATGTGAAGAGTTCTTCAACATCACCTATCGTTCTGGTGGCCACGCTCTTACGACTGAACACGTAACGCGCATCTCCTCGCTGAGCAAGAGCAGGAGCAACCGCAACTTTGATGTGAGTGTACTGGCATGCGTGAGAGCGTGTGAATGCTGCTGCTACCTGTCCGTGTGTGTCTTGTTATCATGGCAAGTGTCTGATACACGCCCCTACGTCCTCTTACTCTCTCATGCCGTTATGTATACCTTTCTTGTTTAGGTGTTCACGACCTCCTGCGACGATGATGGTCTGACTGCGCCCGATGGCCACTGGATCGCACTCGAAACATCTCCAGGCAGCGGCAACTACAATACACAAGACTGCACGTGCGGCGACGGTGGCGGTGTATTGCAGTCGGCTCCAGATGAGCCACTGTCTCACGACGTCGGCTGCTGCGACCACACACTGACCGACACGTTTGACACGTTTCCATTTCCCCTGCGTGCCTGTGCGTCCATCAACTCGGGAGGTGGCGTCGCTCTGTCGTTCAGCAAGCGCGTCCTCCGCATTCAGGAGTGAACGGCAAGAGCTGTGTCTGGTGGTTGTGTTCCTTTGTGCACTTTCTAGCCACCTCCGCACTCTGCGCGTAGTTTGTCGCATTCCACATGCGACGTTCATCTGTGCCCTGATTCCTCCCATGTCAATCCGTGTGCGTGCTTTGCTCTCCTTCGTGCTGTTGCCCGACCCCACATGCCCTCTCCTCCCTCCATACAAATCATCCAACGGGCATATTACTGTTTCACAACAACCCAAAACATGACGTTTATCCTGGCAAAAGCGCGAATCAACCATACACACACGAAGAAAGCAGAACGCAAACAGAACGCAAGCAAGCAAGGCGCGTTTCAAAGAAGGTAGAAACGAAACAAGTCTGTCATTCGAGAATAGGATACAACGGCCCGTTTG